GGACATGAGGCAGAGAACTCTGAGCAAACGATGGTCAATAGGTACCTGGTCTGTGCACCATTGTATTAGTATATATAGTAGGGAGTCTGAGGCAGGGAACTTCAGACTTGATCTTCTTGTCGATTCCCCATCTCCTCTGTAGGTAGCTAGCAGCCCTACCTCCCTCACTACCCCTTCTAGTCTAGGGAATACATCTCTTCACATCTCTTGCTGTGTCACCTCTGGTTGCTTCGCTTCTCAGCACCAACCTCTGCATCAGTAAGCTTTGCCCTTGTTTGTTTTGGTGGCACAGCTCGTTGGCTGTGACAACAGCGGTACGTGGCACTCTCAACTCGTAGTCGCAACATTCTGATTCTGATGAACTGATGTACATAATACTAGGTCGACTACGCCTTTCGGCACTACTATACCGGCGTAGAAGCAGCGCCAAAGGGCCTCAGGCGCTTCGATTACGACGCCGTGGGCCATTTGATGGAAGATTGGTACGTATCCACAGTTCAGCCACTTGCTGAAACAAAGCCGCACAGATTCCAAGCTCTCATCGCTCGCGCACGCGAATGGGGCCGGGCTGTCTCAAACGACTCGGAATATCTGCCAGAGTCTACACGGCCAGAGCGGCGGCGCCCCGTTATGGACCGTGATAGCTCTCCCGCCTTACCTGAGTAGATATACCATGTATACCCATATCCACCAATGCAATGATGTCTCGGGTTTCAGACCGCCGTGTCCGCATGATCTTCACTTAGCATCTTACGGTCTTAACGACGTCTTAATGTGTCTTAGCATCTTAAGCCTGTCTTGATGCGTCTTAAAAGGCCATCTTAATGATCTTAATGGAGCATCTTAATGCTTACGTCTTACATGATCTTCACGCCAACTTACGCGCCTTAACGGTCTTAAAGGCCACTTTAAGTGCCATTAAGTGATTCCCGGGTTTACTGATGCTAAGAGTGAGTGGAAGAGCTTAGGTCTTGAGGGCACGGGTTCACAAGAGGGGAGGAAAGGAACTGCCAGTAGAGCAAAGATCCGGCAATGACGAGATCTATTGAAGAAGATGGCGAGTCGCCATGAACGCAGCCGGGGCAGTGTGCGGCAATACGAACCCTACGAATAGGATACGGCCACCTCAAGGAAGCTCAGATGCCTGATGCGTGCAGCAGCCGTAACGCGGAGCTCGTGATCGATTTGAGGGTCAACAACTGATTCCAAGCTTCAACAACCAATGCGGTATGGGACTCGCGGTCCCAGTTGCTTTATGTCATGGGGAACGGTGCGTGCCTGACAAGACCCGCGGCGATATCTCACAGACGGGGACCTCGCTGTCGCATACGGAACTTCGATGTACAGGAAGCTTGCAAGGTTACAAGAATGCTTGCGTGGCACTAGCGCGGATCTAGCTTACGTCAACTTTGTGTTAAGTGCCTCGAGCTCACGCTGCACCGAAGACCTCGGATCCTTGATGGGGGACAGACCGATCGATGGAGCGCGAGAGGTAAGCTCTTGCACACTGGCGGCAAGATGCGGCTTTTCTGGACATACGTTTGATTTGGTGAGGAGTTGTCTCTAGTGGTTCCTGTGCATCAAAGTTTCCCCAGTGGAGAATGGGCGGATGTCTGCGGTGGGCAGCTGTCATAGATGCTTGTTTGTCACGTAAGGTCGCTTCAAGCGTCTGTCCATGGCTTCACCTCTTGACGATCGCCCACTCTGTATCCGAATTCAGCTCTTCGGCACGCCCCTCTTCCGCTCCGCCTCCGAGTGCATGTTGTATCAGATATCTGCCTAGAGGTCTTTGGTCTAGAAGGCTCTACCCCAACTACAGAACTTCAGAAGAAACCTCAGTTTGACCGCTGCGGTCAGTTCGCCGGCCTCACCAACACCGCTGGCCTGCTTCCAGCGAGGTCCCGGGTTCAATGCAGGCCCGTATGCCAGATATGCTCCCCCCGTTTGTGTGTTGTGCGGTCACATCTGCATCTTGCCAAAGTAAAATTACCCTTAGATGGTACATACAGGGCCCAATCCCGGTTCCAATTGAAAAATGTGTCGTCGGTAATGGATTCGAAATAATCTGAGCTCTCGGTCAGCTGCGGATTAACTCACCAGTTCTACTCATCCTTCGTTTCCGTCACCAGGCGATGGCTTGCGTGTACCGCTGAGAGATGTCCCTCGTTCGTCGTCTCCGCTCGGGCCTCGAGCTCATCTTTACATTCTGCTGGGACACACTTCTCCCTATCCTTACCATACGACCTCCTTACTACGGCTTACACCAATCTCTCTCCTCCTCATCCTTCAATTCACTCGTCGATTCCGTTGAAGAATCGCAAACCAGTGCATCACCTAACACTGAGGATTTTTCCACCAGCGGTGAAGATAAACCCATTGCCCTTTCTATAGCACACGGCATCACAACTCCACCCATCACCCAGACCGTCTGCGACTTCCTCGACGCACATGCATCCGCGTCGCCTGCTGCCCTCGCTGCTCAGGATATCCTCGACCGCCAACTGACATATGCAGATCTTCAAGCGAGCTCTGTTCGTCTCGCGAGACAACTCAAAGACCGAGGCGTGGGCCGTGGCAGCCGCGTCTGCCTGGTGCTGGAGAGATCCCTCGAACACATCGTAGCCCTATTTGCGGTGCTTCGACTGGGAGCGGCGTACATCCCGCTGGATGGGACCATTATCCCGCATAGCGTGCTTCGAATTGTCGTGAGCGATGCTCGACCAACGGTCATTCTGGTTTCCAAGACGCATGTCGCACGTTCTGGGAGCGTCGAGGGGAAGTGGTACTGCATTGAAGATCTCTTAGAGGCGGACGAGCATATGGGACCTGGAACGAGTTTCGACGATGCACGACCCGAGGATCCTGCGTATATAATCTTCACTTCAGGTGATGTTATCTCTGTAGTGTTACCTATAGGTGTCGCTGATGAGGATTTCGATAGGCACAACTGGGCGCCCCAAGGGTGTGGTTGTAAGTCATTCCAATGTCGTGAATCGTACGTATTACTTTTCACAATGTTCAAACAAGGTCTGACATACGTCAAGTGGTGTGTCAGGCTCCAGGGAACTTGGGTATCACCCTCAGAACGAAGGTGGCGCAGCTGCTGAACGTCGCGTTCGACATGTGCGCCTGGGAGATTTTCAGCTGCATCTTGAATGGCGGGAGTCTTTATCTTCGTGGCCTCCGACGCGCAGACTGGATGAAGGTGATGAAGACTGTAGACGTACTTATCTGCACGCCGTCGATACTAGAACCGCACGACCCCGAGGACTACGCAAATGTGAAGGTCATAGCGACAGCGGGCGAGCCATGTACCAAGGCACTTTTGGAACGGTGGGGGCATCGTGTGAAGTTCTTTAATTGCTGTGGCCCTACAGAGGTGAGTGTTATCCCAAATTTTCCAGGAATATTTAGCTACGCAACAGTCACCCTCGGACCCCGACATGTTTCTGATACCCCCTTTCCGGGCCCAATTGCAGACGACCATCGTGAATACAATGGATCTCTACCATCCCGGCTCGGACGTGACAATCGGACGACCGACCCCTAACAACTCAGTGTACGTCTTGGACGAAGAGCTGCGCCCTCTGCCTCGCGGAGAGGTCGGCATGATGTGGGCAGGCGGGTTGGGAGTCAGTCTCGGCTACCTCAACCTTCCTGAGCTCACGAAGATCAAGTACAGGCGAGACCCATTCAGAGCAGATGGGTACGTGTGCGCATCTCTTGGGATCCCGCACTTACTGGGACGCACTAACAACCTGAATCTACGACTCCAGAGGAATAATGTACAGCACCGGAGACCTCGGTCGACTGCGCGTAGACGGGAAGTTCGACCATCTCGGGCGCGTTGATGAGCAGGTCAAGGTCCAGGTAAGCACGATCGTGCCCCTCTAATCTTATTTCCACGTCAAATGATCGTGGATTCTTGGGCGGGTAGGGCTTCCGGGTCGAGCTAGACGGTGTTAGCGCGGCGATGCGCTCATGCGCAGGAATCACGTCTGCGTGCGCGCTCCTCATAGACGGCGAGCTGCACGGGTTTTATGCGCCTAGTTCGGTCTCTGCAGCCGCGGTACTGGAGGCAACAATGGCAATTCAGCCATGCTATGCCGTGCCGTCGAGATACATCGCGTTGGACGCGCTCCCTTTGACTGGGTGAGTCGCCCAGGAGAGAGAGTGGAGATTATCGATATCGCTTACAGATTCTGCCTCGTAGCAACGGAAAGGTTGACAAGCGGAGGCTACACGAGATTGCGCAGGACCCTGGCACACTCTGTGAGATAGTCCACGTTGGGTAGTTGGATAGTGGGTGTCGGTATCGATTATTTGGAGGAACCAACCACGTTTCAAGGTGGTGATGGGATCGGTGGGGACCTGACCGTGAATGTACATAATCCGATTATTATACCTGGCTTTATAGCCGATGTACCAGGACGTCGGTTCTCAAAAACACATACTACGATCCGGACGATAGCTACTCAAGGAAATTGGTCGGACCAGGGAAGTGGATGCAGCCTAGACTGGAAGCAGACATACTTCTATTACGTATTCGGGAATCGTGCCTGCGTATCACGAGTATCATCAGGTTTACGATCTGGGTACTAGGATATGATATTGAAGCCCTTGGAGGCCTGGCAGAGGACTACGTACGCCGGGCCAGTACTTCACTCCGAGAACCGGAATCACCGTAAACGACGGAGTTGGCACATCGCCTTCGAATAAGCCCGTCTTCTCTGGTACATGAATCCCTGGAGTCAGCTACGTTGGAATAATCATCACATCGTATAGAGCAGTCTCCATATCTCCTGACGTATGATCGATTGCCCGAACCGTCTGGTGCAATGACTCATGTCCGCCATGCAAACCGAATCCAAGGCTAGTCATTCACGTCCATCTATCACCCGCTGGGGATCTCGGGGCCGTCGATTTTACGATGGAGCCGATAGATCATATTCACCCAAAGGTAGATTCGTTCATCATGCTCTCGCCCTTTTGCAAGACGGCATCAATCACGCATGGCCCAAACAGCTGAAGGAAACACTTCCGAGCCTGCTCGGGAGGAACGTGTTCTCCTTTCCTAGGACCCTAATGGGGAGACCGGTTATACGAGGTAGTTTATACAACCTCCGCTTCATGAGCTCCTGACGTATTGCATGATGCAGGCTTCTGCTAGGGTCGGTACTAGTCTTTCCCCGGCTCCACGACCCAGCGAAAAGGTATGCCTCGCCTGAGCGAGCTTGCATATGCAGGGATATTGCTCGTACCGTGCGCCTTCAATTTGATGAAGGTAAGCATGGGTATCATGTCCAGGACAACATTCTCTGGCGAAGACCTACTCGCTCATGCGCAAGAGGCTCTGACACGTTGGCAGTAAGTATTGCTAGCGCTGTGCACCGGGACATCGCGCTCACGCAATCTAACATTGTGTATCCAAATCATGACCGCGACGTCTCGGTTTGACATCCACCGCTCTCTCGCTCCATGGGATGATCTCTCCGCTCTATCATGAAAGCAAGACGCACCTTGTCTGGTCCCTCGCGGTGATACCTCGATGTGGAGGCTTTTGGGCGACCTGCATGCGGTATCGTTACGAACCTTGTTGAGGTGGAGAGCTACTTGCCAATTGTCTGGCCACAGACTGGAGACAGCGGCGCAGGTAGGCCGCCTATGTTGCGCGTGCACAAGTGGTATTTCGAGAATAGGAAGATTCCGGAAATACCGTGTGTTTGTATGCGACAATCAGCTTGAATTGATTCAGGACCTCGAACCAGCAACATAAGGAGCGCACACGTTGGGCCGTACATATCCAAGTTAGTCAGTATCAGGTACGATAGCGTACGCAGGGGACTCACCAAGACAGTCTTGCAGGCTGCAAACGCCTAGGGAGCTCCTCAAGCGTACTTAGACGAGATCGTGCAAGAGATGCTTCTGATGGCATGAATGTCGTGAGCGGTGTTGAAAAATGTGAAAGGTGACGGCAAAGTGAGGCATGGCTGGAGACGTTCCGTGAGCGAGGATAGGTCTGACTGTTGCTCCGCTCAACTTCAATCGTTTCGTGCCGGGCGTGGCGTCAGAGGCGTCCAGACATAAACATGAGCCAGAGCAGAGATCGGCTCTTGTACAGCACAAATGCAGTCGTACCAATCTTGTATCCAGCAAGCAGAATCTTAGGATTCCGTACGCTTGTGTTCTAGTATAGACCACTCCTGAAACGCCGGAAACTCAAATGCGCGTACTAGGAACTGCATTAAGAACTCACAAGTCATCATCTACATGAGCAGGCCGCGATGCCAGTTAGAGTCTTGCATGGCTCAAGGTGCTGACGCTCGACGCAGAGTTACGACATCCGATTACTGTGTACAGACAAAGTCACAGGACCGACGTCGGTGCCACATGAGGGGGTTTTCCGGATGATCACATTCTGCGATAGAACGGAGGGGACCACCCATAGTGCGCTATTGATACAATGGAATACCATGCATAAGGTAGTCATCATGGAGGAGCATACATCGCCATTGAGTAACGCCTGATGCCTGAGGGCCCATAACTATAGGATGGCAGCAGCGCAGAGCGAGTCAAACAGCCACACTGGCGAGCGCTGTTTACTTCTTTTTGGGCGTGTCCTTGATTTCCTCGACGTGGAGACCTGTGCAGAGGCGGTACGTGTATGAGAACATGGACGCGACTGAGATAGACAGGGAGAGGACGCACCAGGAGGTAAGCTCTGCTGGAGCTTCTCTGCCTTCTCTGGGTCGTCTAGCGACAGAGTGTAGAGATAGCGAGAGCACCGGATCTTGAACTTGGTCTTGGTCTTGCCGCCAGGGACTCGCGACGCAATCTTCTTTATGCGAGCCGCTAGAGGACATGGTCGAGAGGTTGGAGACGGGAAGATAAGAGGTGAAAGACTGCGGGAGGCACGCACCCTTGGCATCCTTCCTCCGGGCGATGTCGATGAACTGCTTGATGTCACGGATCTCCTTGGGCTACGATGGATGCGAGGATTAGCTGAGCTATTGCAGTGAGTGAGACGAGCAATATTGCATTCACCATTTTGGCGTTGGTGTTGTCCCTGTCGGTGCCGTTGTCCGCGTTGGCCTCGCAGATTCTGCCTACGGTGGCTGCGATCCGATCTGTAACTGTACAGTCCTCGGAGATAGCCGGCTACCTATGTCGCCGGAGATCAAGCGCTCGTCGGGAGGCCTGCATGAGCAAAAGCGCTTACTTACAGTCATACACGGGTCCTCGGGACACTGCGCGTTTTCTGACCCTCCCTCTATCCTACTGCCTCAGGTTTTTGTATATATCTACATAGACATCTTACAGCTCACCTCTCCTCAAATTTCATCAGAGGCGACCCAGAAGTGAAGTCACCAGCCCAGTTTCTGTACAAGATTTACACAAAAACCAAATCTGGGACTGGTTCCCGCCCGAATCTATACTCACCGTGCCCATGGGCGTGCCCCATTTCTGGTGTACAACAAGGCGACATATATCTCCTTCTCTCAGCGACTTTATATGGTTCGATTTTGACACTGAGCCCTGATAGTCATCGACACAGTGTGGAAGGGTAGTTCTTTGGCTCAAGCAATCGGGTGTTTAGATGTCCACATACCATATCCGGGTCCGGCTATCCTCGGCAACAGCAATTTCGTTCCATACGAGGGAATTAAGCGCTGTCCCGAGGACCGAGGGACGTGCAATTAGAGAAATTTGGGATGATTGTCCCCAATCCCTCTCACACATAGTTGGATTATCATGAAACTTACGCATGCAATGCCTTGTTGTGTACCATACATGATGGCATCGTCCGATATGGGCTGCACAGGTAGGGGATGGTTTGGGATGAGCGACAACATTTGACTGTCCCGAGGACCCGTGTATGACTGTAGCTGGTCTCCCTTATAGGCCAAACATACAGTCTTTAACTGGTCCTTCGGACACCCACTGGTCCCTCGGACGCTCCCTCAA